AAATTTAGGTGTTATGAGGAACCCTCATATAGGAACTTGGGAGGCCAGACTTAATTGACAACCAGATGCAAACTTGGTGTATGGGTTTGAGCATATTTTTTAATCTCTTGATGTCATTCTCCCTTTTCTTTTTGTCTTTGTATCGAGTTAAGAGCATTACTACATCTTTAAGAAATGTGAGAAAGAGCTAGTGATGACTGGGAAGAATTTGTAAGTATAAGCATAAGGTAGTGTTAGCACAAAGTTAGTCTTTTAGTTTTTTCTAATTATGTTTAATTGTTAATTTTTGGATTTTAACTTTGTTTTGTTTTTCCCACTTGAAAAATGTGTAGCTTATTAACCTTGGGGAATGAGGAAAAATAGTATTTTTTTATTCTTCTCTATCACATAACCAGCTGAGCCAGTTAGCTCAGACTTTCCTAGATGATTCACCTTTTGGAAGAGGCCAGTCATGGAAAGTTTCTGTCTAAATAAGGACTTTTCAGGAAGTTTTGAGTAAGTGAAAATGAAGTTAAAATGGAATTTCTGCTGATAATGTTTGAATTAACTATTGCTAATAGTGGGCCTTTTCCTGTCAGTTCCCTCTCATATATAAAAAATGGTCTTTGACTTAACTGTTCTCCTATTTGAAGATATTTTGATCACTGGATCTCTTCTTATTGCTTAGTAAAAGTGGAGTTCTTCTAGGCATACTGTCAATGAACAGTTGTCTGCTAATGTTACTTTGTGTCGATTACCAAAGTCCCTGAGAGAAATGTACCAGTTTATAGAACTTGTTTCCTAGTGAATATGAATAGGACTTTGACACTAAGAAATTAACAGAGATAATCCCACAAGTTATACTTTTTCCATGCTTCCTTTATGGCGTTTACTATATATCATGTATTGTCATGACTTGTTTTCAGTGGTTGGCTGTCCCAATAGACTGTGAGTCCCTTAGGAACTGAGACCATGTCATATTTTTTAGTATGTCCCACATCTAACACAGTACCTGGATCTAGGTTTCTTTTCAGAAAATTTTCACAAAATTGTCTTAAGTGGCTGCTATAAAAGTTTTGTTAGTCCTGTGGGAAAACAAGTAAAAAACAAAACCAAACATGCTTTACATCAAAACTTGTTTTACTTTGCCTGTAACTTGGGCCACTTGATCTTCATTTTCTCTCATCACCAACCTAAACCATTCTAAAATTTCACAATGATGTGCCTTGATGTGGATCTTTTTTAAATTTGCCACGTCAGATGTTCTGTGGAACATTCATTTTGTGGAAACTCATGCTTTTAGGAAATTTTCTTTTTGTTGATGACCTCTCCCATATTTCCCCTTCTTCTAAAATTCCTGTTAAAGTTCATGTAAGGCTAGGCTAGGCTATGCTGGGGTAACAAATAAACCCAGAATTTCAGTAGCATAACATAGTGCATATTTATTTCTTACTGGTGCAAAGTCCAATACAGATTGAGTAGCACTCTGTCCTGTAACTCAGCCATCCAAATCACATAGCCTTCAAGGTTTCTGTGGCAAAGGAAGAGGGAATAGATTCTCATTTAATTCCCTTGTTTTCAGAATGAGACTTCAGCCCTGCTCTTTGAGTCTGGAACCTCTGTGGTTTTCATTTCTCCAAAGAGTAATGGGTTCTGTTGAGTCGGGTGGCAGAAAATAGCTTCTGGGATGAGGTGGAGAAGGGGATCTGGAACCTAATTTCTCCTGAGGCAAACTTTCAACTGGTTTCAACCCTACTCCTCTCCCCCACTTTCAAAGGTTCTTGGTGTCTCAATCTCCTGAGCCTTTCTAGAATAGCGTTACAAATTGGCTTGCTTATTGTTGGCCATTCCATATGCCTACAGGATTAGGAGATCAGAGGAAACAAAAACCTAAGCCAATTACTACTTCTCTATTTGCTTTCTACCTTCAAAAAATGTGATTGACATCCTTTTTCTGTTATACCTCTTCTCATTATCCTTGTGTAAATTTGCCTTGGTAAATTTATTTACCACTATTTAGTGGGGTTTTGGTAGGGAGTGGAGAATAAAGCACGTGTTCAGACCACCATTTCAAAGTGGAATTTTCCACTGTTCTTCATGAGCCATTTAGATCTGCCCCAGATTCTACCCAGGGCAAGGAGATGTAAAGCAACACTTTCTAGTCCAGTACTCTGGGATTCTGCATTAAGCCTTAGGTTTGAAAGTGAGTTTATTTTGGTTGTCTATATAGCAGTGTAAGGAATCATGCCAAAATTTAGTGGCTTAAAACAGTTGTTTTATTGTAATTTCTCATAGTTCTGGGGGTGGCTGGGCTCAGCTAGGCAGTTCTTGCTAGGCACTTCTAAGCTCAGGGTCTCTCGTGCAGTTGTAGTTAGTGGCTGGGTCTGAGCTAGGAAAGTTTCTCATGTAAACCATCTCTAAGGTTTCGTTCCTCTCATATCTGGTGCCTGGGCTAGGAAGACTCAGACACCTGGGAACTGGAACAGACTTCTCAGGCATCTCTGTCTATGTGGTCTTCCCATATGTTCTCTCCAGCATGGTGGCTTCAGAGTAGCCAGACCTCTTGTGTGGTAACTTGGGATTTCAAAGGTGCATTCTAAAGGGAGAGAGCCATGTGGAGGCTGTATCACCTTTTATCAGCTAGCCTCAGAAGTCATGTAGTGCCACTTCCCCTGAACTCTATGAGTCAGGGCAGCCACAAAGGCCCACCCAGTTTCAGGGGGTGGTGACATACACTGCCCCTCTCATTGGGGTAGTGTCAGGTTCTGGAGGATCATGTGGGATGGGAAATTTGTGGCAATCATCCTTCGAAAATAGAGCTTATTACAGGGTTTTCTCTAGCATTGCTACTTAATCTCTGGATAGTCTTGAAAAAGTAACTTCTTAACCCCTTAGATTTTAGTTTTCTCACTCATGAAATGTGAATGTGTCAGCTGTTGCTACAGAAATGCTGTAGCATTTCTGCTACCATCCCAAAACTCAGTGGTATACACCAATGAGCTTTTATTTATTGCTCATGTGTTTCTGAATATCTGGGGTTCAGCTGATCTGCGCTTGGTTCCAAGCTGCTTGTTGAGTTCAGGTCTGCAGCATGTGTCTTTCAGCCATCTTTGGCCAGCAGCTACTTGAGGCATATTCTTATGGCTAAAGGGAGGAACTCAAGGGGCAAGTGAAACAGCACAAACACATTTAAGCTTCTGTTCCTGTCAAATCAGCTAACATCTCATTGACCGTTGAAGCAAGTCGTTTATCCAAGCTCTCGGTGGGGTGGGGAAGTATCTTCTTGGTCAACAGGGAGGAAGTGAATATTTGCTGAATGATGGTCTAATCTATCACACAAATTCTCCCCCTTATTTTTGACTCTTGACTCTTACTACTGAGAGGTTCATTTGGGAGAGTAGAGAGACACACAAATTAAACCTGATAGAGAGTGGGACCATATTTTGGAGGGTCTTGAATGCAAGGTTCAGCCATTTATATTTGATCTCTGAGTAATACTGAACCATCACAAGAACTTGAGCAGGGGAGTAACAAAGGCGTTTTTTTTGTTTTGTTTTGTTTTTTGATGTTTTAATAGTTTATAACATTGTGAAATTTTTGGTTGTACATTTTTGTTTGTCCATCACCATATACATGTCTCCCTTCACCCCTTGTGCCCATCCCCTACCCCCATTGCCCCTGGTAACGACAATACAGTTTTTAACAGAGGTTTTAAAAGTTTCCCTTGAAAATTAACTTGACGGTCTTTCTCAGTGAAGATTCTTCTTCTTTTTTTTTTTTTGTGAGGAAGATCAGCCCTGAGCTAACATCCATGCCAATCTTCCTCTTTTTAGTGAGGAAGACTGGCCCTGAGCTAACATCCACGCCCATCTTCCTCCACTTTACGTGGGATGCCGCCACAGCACGGCCTGACAGGCGGTGTGTCGGTGCGCGCCCAGGATCTGAACCCGGGCCGCCAGCAGGGGAGCATGCACAAGTAACCGCTACGCCATGGGGCCGTCCCCCCACCAGTGAAGATTCTTAATATAAAACTCTCAAATTCTTATTCTGTGCCACTTGTGTGAGTGACACAGTACGGAATGCAGGAGTTAGATGGCTCTTAATAAGAAAATTTGGTTCTGGTCCCAAGAAGCGTAGAAGGAAGGAGAAAAGAGATAGAGATTTATATTCCTGCAAAGCTAGAATTTATGGGATTCACCTGTCATTATTCTTGGCCAGTCTTATTCTGGATGACCTGATTGAACACTCAAAATACAATGACCATAATCTTAGACCCTCCCACAGATAGATTGGAATTTAAACAAAATTCCTCAGATGTTTTTGTTGACTTGGCAAGTGCAGGCAGGCATTAGGCACTTCTCTGTTTATCTGAAATTTCAGGCACCATAAATATCTTTGTTTGACCCTTTAGGATGCAGTTTTATTGAGGGCAGTTTTTCCAGATTTGAAATTGGAAGGGATTCTCAATCATAGCTTTCTTCCACTCCCAAATCAGTAGTACCTATTTAGCCCATTTTAAGGGATTTTGTTTCATCTTTGGATTGTTTTAGGTGTAGAAAAGGAGGCTTCTACAGAGTATTTTCATTTGTTTATACTGTTGCTTTTCTCCTTAAAATAATGCCATTGTTTTTCTCCCAAATATTCCATCTCCTCATTCCAGCTTTTAACTGTGAGTCCTAATCTCCATGTGAGGCACAGTGGGAGAGCCTTTTTCAGCCTTCACATCAGTAACCCCTAGGGGCTGTGATTCAGTAGTGATTACCAAAGTGTGTTTCATACTGACAGAAGTAATGGAGGGGATTTTAGAGAGGTCAGATTTACATACACCGTTGTTTCATTCAGTAAGGGAAAATGTCTTTGTCTAGAACTGTTGTAGTAAACTTTAACCATAAAACTCAGTAGCCAGAACTTACTGAAAGTCCAGTGGGTATTTTCCTTGTTGTCATTTATTCCCTTTTCTTAGATTTTATTTCTCTCTTTTTATTCCTCTTGTAAACTTGACGTCTCCTTCCATGGCACAGGGTGACTAAGGAAGTGGATGCTACATCTAAAGAAGCCAAATCCTTCTTCAAGCAAAATGAGAAAGAAAAACCACAGGCTAATGTCCCTGCAGCTCTGCCGTCACTCCCTGCTGGGTCAGGGTGAGTATTCTCCTCTCAGGCCCAGGTGTACCTGGCACATTGGAGAAGCTGTTTTCAGTATGAGGACCTGCTTTAACTGTAACTGTCATGATTATTTTCCTGAGAAAAGGAATTTTGTTGCTGCTCTGCCTTTGTTGAAATATTTGCCAAAATGGAAGCTGCAAAGGAAAATTAGCCATAGGTCTCCCATTTGATACCAGCCTGAAAAAAGTCCTGATTTACATTGTTAACCACAGAGCTGACCATGTAGTAGACTTTACATTTAAAAAATAATTTTTGAATGAAAATATCAGCAGTTCATCAAAACTTCAAGTTTTGGGTTGAGTACTCACTCCCATCCCCCAAGGACCTCAAAGGAACATAAAAAGGTTAAAGCTGATTTATAAATAATTCTATTAACACATTATCAGGAACTTAATAGTTTTTCTCCCTTCATATTTTCCGTATTTCTTGAGTTATTTTCAGCGGAAGACTAGAATTCTTTCTCTTTGGAGGAAATAAAAATTTCTTTCTTCTTAACCTGTATGAAAGAAGTAAAGCATCATAGTAAATATGAGAAGCCTACAGGGAAGTGAGCATGGACCACACCTCATGGGTAGCACTGATTACCCGCTGACGCCTGTGGACAGCTCTGTGTCTTTGAGATGTTTGGGGTAGAACAAGTCACCTATAGGGGCTTCTCTGACCCTTCTGTCAGAGTTTGTCGCTTCTTCCTTCCCTCCCCAAACATACCTACATCATTGCTGCGAACAGTAAAGTTTTGTTTTGTTTTTCACATTTAAAAGAAATCATTGGTTTTCCTGTCAGATTATGAGCTTTTCTAGCACAGGTCTTTCTCATCTTTGCAACCCTGGCTCCAAACAACGCTGTGTTACACTGGTATGCTCGCTAGGTTGCATTTACCCAGAAGCAGGCCCTGAGATGAAGGTGTGAGTGCAAGTCATGTATGTGGGAGGTGATTCCAGGAAGCTCCAGTAGGGAGGTGAAAAGGGGTGGTGGGAAGGACTCCAGTGCAGGGTGTGTTCCCTAGTAGGTGACTGCTGCTGTTGGCTGGTCGTCAGCTCTCCCTGCAACTCAGGGAGATGGTGAAGAACACGGCGAGGGCGAGGAGGCTGGGATATTTAACTCCCATCAGTCACTGGCTCAGCTGCTTCCACCTGCCCTCAATCCTTAGGCCATAAGCTGAGGTGCTTGCAGTCAGATGCTGCTCTCAGGGTGTGCCCTGGTGGTGAGTGCAAGGACGTGAGGCTGGGGCCACATCCACGTCTGCTTCATACTTTATCTGCTTCTTATTCCAAGTATTTCTCTCCCACTGGAGCGACTAGGTAGCAGATATCATGTAGTAGTTACACGGAAACCTATGAAGGAAAAGGATTTGAGTGCTTGCTGCCACAGTGGAAATGATGTAAACACCAAGGAAGGAGCCAAGTAGCGTGAACAGAATTCTCTAGACCCGGCCATGTTAATACTCTAGACCAGTACTTTCCAAGCTCTGGTTTGCAATTGTCATTTAAAAAAAAAAAAAAATAGAATAACAAATATCATAGTACATCATGTAGTAAGAGTAAATATTGTTTCATAAAATTTTTATTTCGGTTATTGATGTGCTTGTAGTGGGTGGCAAAATAAACTCTATTTTTAGTGAGGGTTGAGATTAAAAAAATGTGAGACTGTAGGCTGAAGCAACATGTTTTTAACCTTAAAATAATATATTGTATGAAAGGGATTCTCTTGAGACCAACAGCTTTCAAACTATTGACTGCCACCCACAATAAGGAATACATTTTACAGTATGCCCTAGTACACCCATAAATATAGGTATGTAAAAAAATGAAATAAAAATTTGGTGAAGTAATGTTTCCATTAGTATATACAATGAACTCTAATTTTATATTTTACATTATTGTGTATAGTATGTGTCGTTCAAAGAAAGTTAGGACCCACTGAATTGATTTCACAATCTTCTACAACCTGAATTTGACAAATACTGCTCTAGACATATAGAATTAGCCTTTTGCAGGCTTTGACTTGGGTTACCAAGCTTGTATCTGGTATTATTAAACAGTGTCTCTTGCATTTATTAAATCTGTTACTGTGAAAGTTATCTCTGGATTTAAGTAGCAGGTAGAAATAAAGGCAAAGCTTCTTCTACCTTAGGTTTCTAGCATAGTTAGTTTCAACTAGCACAATTTTTACTTCTAGTCTCCTTGAGTGTTTCTTAATCTCTATTGATGCTTAGAGATTCTACTTGGAAACTGTGTGTTTCAGAAAGTACTCTGTTACTATAATTATGAAGATAACTAGAGGAGGGAGAAGTGGTAGCTTAACAAGGTCACCTTAAGTTACTAAGTTGCTTATGGAAATCTCACTGCATTCTGTATCCATGCCTTCTTTTCTTTCTAGGATAAGAAATCTGCTGAGATGATATCTGTATTAGGGAGACCCAGCAGGAAACAGATGGTATCCTCAAATTTGGATACTTTGAGGAGAATTTAATAACTCACAAAGTGATGAAAAACCACGGGGATAGGAATAGTGCAGTGTCCCTAGGCTAGTAATAATGAGGCTCCATTACCACCCCTAGACCTGAAGGGGCAAGAGGGGGAACAGTTTATTGCAGTGAAGACAGAGAGGGCCTCCTGACAGAAGCTAAGACCTTTACTTGAGTGATGGACCCTCCAGGGGGAAACCAGAAGAATAAATATCCAGATCTCCCATTCTTCCCTCCCTCCCATCTCTTGTTAGGACACTTCATTTGGCCACTGAGGCTTGTGAAAGAAAAAATTATTCTGACACTTGTTAAAATGGTAAGGAAGACTTTTTCAAGATTATTGCAATAGGTATTAAAACTATCACAATAGGGGAGAAGGATCAGGCTCAACTCTGCATACAGCAGAACCAGCTGGGGATTTATAGCCAGGCAGCAGAATGAGGGAGATGGGGGCAGTAGATGGAATATTACTAAGAGGATGCATCAAGGGTAGGGAGATTCTTGCTGAAGACAGGCCAAGGACTTATACATGAAAGGTGAGACATGAGGAACGTGATCAGATATCAAGAGCGGGGGATTCTCTTTAAACTGACTTTGCAGGATTCTTGCTATGCAAGCCCAGCAAGGACAGGGGCCAAGATTGAGGCCTAGTCAAGAAGAGGGCTCAAAGAAGCCTGACTAAGGGTTGATCAAGAAGTCCTTTGTGCATCCAGGACAGCATCTGAGGCAGAAAGCAATATAGAGAAGGATGTAGAGAGAATCTGGAGGGACCAACCAGTAAAATATCTTTCAGTGGATTAATGAACTACTGACTCCCTTATAAAGCGGTAAAGTGAAATTTGATCGAAATCAGTTTCTTTGAAAGCTATAACAGATTACAAGAATATGTCAAGAATATTACAAGAATATGCTTGAGTAAAAAAGTCCTCAGAGTTGTGCATGATAGTGGGAACACATTTAATTATGATACCATGTATCTTGAATTTCTGAATAAATCCAGAAGATAACCTTCAAGGTTGGCATGATTGTTTTTCTAAAATGCATCTGAAAAAACATCTAGAGTTGTGATTGTGCTTGGGGAAAAGACGGAGTCAAGAGGAATTCAGCTGACCTGGGGTGTCTAAGTGGGCCTATTTTATCATTGCAAACATTAGTAAATCTGCTGCAGGCTGCACATGGAAAGTCGTTTCAGGGGGAGAATCTATAGGAATAATCACGATTTATTGAAAGAAAATTATTTTAATATTTTTTCCATATTTTTTTCATTTTCATTTTTGAAGTTGCTTCAGTTTATAGAAATTGTCCAGCAGAAATACTTTATTTGTTTATTTTTCTTCTCTCTAAACAGATTTAAGCAGTACAGGAAAACCAGAGCAGGAGAGTAAAACATCCTGTCCCACATCCTTTGCTAGCAAATAAGAGCAGATTCACAGGAGCAAATGTTTGTAACTGAAAATGCATTTCCTCTACATGTTTAAAATAGCACACTGCTTAGGCTATAAAAAGCCAAAGTTTATGCTTTGGGAATGGAGTAAACCAAACAGAGAGTTTTAATTAGATGCAGGAATCAGAGATGACAAGAAGCACTCTCTACATTTGGTAGTAGAAAGCCTAATGCTCAGCTTAGTGTGTCTAAATTCCTGTAGTTTTGTTACTCTAAGCTCTTGATCCACTTCTCCCCCGCCCCCCTTTTAGCCTCCCCCATCCTCACTACCGAGACCGTTGGGCACTTGAACCCAGCTCCTACAGTTTTTGTGGTTATTTGGCTGGTCAGCCTTCAGCCGCACATTTACTGCTTACCTTATTCCAGCAGTGGGCTGCTAGCCGGCTATTAGTTTAATTAAAGTTTATAGTCCTAGCCATAGGCATTAATTTGTTTAATTAAGGGCTTACTATTTAAGTTAAGAGCAATAAAATGTGTGAAAAACATCATTTTCCCATGTAGTTGTCTTGTCTTCTTGGCCTGTTGAGCAAAACAAAGGGCCTTATTGTTGAGTCTCAAACAACATCATGGGTGGTGTCAGTTTAGCAGTGTTTGCCCCAAAGACAGAAGAGACAGAATTCCTCACGGTGTCATACTGAAGATAGAAGACCCAGACTAAAGACGCGAGAAGACAGCAATGCCTGACTGTTTTTGTGGTTTATCAGTATGCAGCATATTTGACCAGTCAGTCCCCAGGAACCTTTAGTTTGTGCAACAGAGTCTTCCTGTCTGAGCAGTTAATCTGATCTCTCCCAGTCTCCTCAGACATGAGTTAACACCTTCATTGGCTCTTGTAAGTTTTTAAATTTTTCAATATAGTCTTTTGATAGAGGGCATTGAGAATTATACTCTAACAAAAATCACACATAGCCACAAGATTAGGTGGAAACATTTCTAATTTTTGATCAGAATCTCTTATGATGATCAATCAGACCTCTGACGTATGTTGATTTATTTTTTTAGGCCCTTTTACTTTTAAAGGAGTTGCTTTCATGTTGAGAGGAGCATTTCAGAGCTAGATCTAAT